GGGGGGGTAGAGAATAGTTCCATTCACTGTGCAGCAGCACTATCGACATTGACCAAAGGAACCTCCAACGCGACTGAACATTCTAAAAAGTGTGGAGTGTGCACCAAGACCTCATAACCAACCAGCCATCACTTTCACACAACATAGCGCTAATTGTGTGACCAAGGATGTTGACAGTTTTAATGCACATATTCAAATACTTCACACTATCGAATCTCGGTGTTCTGTCTGTGGTTGTTGGCTGATTTTAGTACTCAATACGGCCTCGTCTCGCAATAAACAACCACCGTGTTGGTAAATAAAAAAAAGGCGAAAAGGCAGAAGGCGACCTTTTCAATAGGAGAGGGAGAAGGCCTCGAAGATGGCACTTGGTTTACGCAGGAATTCGAGAGCAGAAATAATTTTGAAGAGCATTTAGAGAGCACTATGCCAACTTAAACGAATACGAACCATGACTGTCACTTGTAGGGAAATAAATTTCGCATCTACAATTATTCGATAAGGAAGGAGAATAATTAAAAACCAATAAAAGAAACAAATCTCCTTATCAGCATAAGTTCATAAAAACAATAAGACTTTAAAGATTGCTTCGTTAGTCATTACTACTTGACTTTGAATTATATTAAACTAACCACGTGCGTCAGGAGGAAGAGGCGATGTATGCCTGGTCTCCTGGAAGATGACAACAGCGGGTCCGAGTTGTCGAGGGGACCAGGGGAGATCGTGTTTGGTGACAAGGGCCTCCAGACGCGGTGCAAAGTGCCCGACAAAGGCATCAGAAGCATCTGCAAGAAAGGTGAACATATCCGTGTGGAGGCGATCGGACATGCAACGGTAGACAACCACGTCTGCCATGGCGAAAACCTTCAACAGTAGGCGACGCTGACGATTCGGATTTGTAGATAAGCCAAGTAAACCTAAGGCAATGGAAAGGTTAGTAATCTAAGTAAAATAAAGTAAAATCACTATAGGCTACTAAGCGCTTAAGCAAACTAATTTTTTTTGCCAATATACAACTTGATTCATTTTATATTTCATGAATACAAAAAACTTCGATAGGTTGTTTGACAAATGGTATGGGTTAGAGACATAATCATGAATCCGCTACTTCGATTGAAGCTTGTCAGCTAATCCATCGAAATAGCAGTAACGGGAGCAACCAGGCTATTAAAAGAAAGGAAAGTGGCGGGGGAGGGGGGGGGAAGCAGTATACGAGAATAATTTGAAAGCGGTTTTATCGATAGAATAACCATCTATAAGTTGTAAAATCGATAGGGGTTGAAAATAACAAATGCAAATTCCTAGCACCTCATTTTTCTTCAAATTTAGCTCTAAGCAAATTTGTCATTTTTAAATTTCTTAAGAATGAAGAAGGCAGCGATCAATAGTCAAGCTCAAGAATTCGGATATCTGGTACTAAATAAGCTATTCCTAAATGACATGTATTCCCATTGACCAAGAATAATAGTTTAAACTAATTACCGTATTCCTAATACAAGTCTGAGACGGAAATAGCTAATGCCAAAATGGTGTCAATTATACAACGCGCCTAAATTGAATAGCATGTCTTAAAGTAGAGCAACCAACTTTTAAGAATTTATATCAAGTACACTTTGTCCAAGTCAGAATTGCGAATTAAGCAATCATCATATTAAATAATTTAACTATAAGAGGAGCTAATCCAGGAGCAAAAATGACAGGCGGTGCAACCGGAAGACGAAAACAAGAAGGGCTCCAATGAAATTTTACCGAAAGTTAGTTCACCAATCAGAATTAAACAAACCCAGCTGGAACCAATAAGAACAAAGAGCATTGAAAAGACAAGCAAATTACTAGAGGCTTGTTTCGTAATCAATTATTATACAAAGTGCGGTAATAAACATTGCAATTTTAGACGAGAAAAAGTGCGCACGAAATTTCGAGAACCGCAAAAAACAAACAATATTAAGCATTCTGTAAATAAATCTATTGCATTTAAGAAAATTGTGCTTCAAATATAAAAGAACAGAAGTAAAGTACCGAACTTTAAAGGTGTAATTGTGAAAAGGTCTACTTAAAATAAATCGCTTTCATATCAAGTAACCTAAAAGGGCAAAGCACATTATATTAAAATGCGATGGAACAGCAAATTTATTAGCTCTCAATGTTGAAAGAAGAGGGGTGTGCAATAGACTTACCTCCACGTGGTGCACCCTAGGCAACGTATACTCATATGGCAAAAAAGTCTATTAGTCGGCAGTTAACTTCTGACTTCAAACTACAATGACCCCAACGCATTTCATGTTCGACTAATTCCACAGTACTCACCTCACCTTTTTTCTACCTTTGTGCCTGTCTGTCTCTTTTATGTTTGTGAATCATCATTCTGTCCCCCTCTCGACCTTTTTCACTTTGATGTTCCACTTTCTTTCTGTGAAGCCCAAAGTCAATTAAAGGACTAACGAAACTTATCATAACGTCCGCCATTCGAAATAAATAAATGTTGAAAGAAGCAGAAAATAGAAATCTAAGGAATCAGATCACGAGATTGGAAAAATAAACAAACTTAAAACTATAATAAAAAGTTAAAAAAAAACAACGTTTAAAGAGCAAACCTTCAGTATCAAGAAGAAGGTAACCGCGTTGGGGTTCGAACGCAGCCCATACGCCAAGTGTGCAAGTTGATTGAGAAGAGGAAGTAATAAAAACATCTTCTGAACGATCACCACTACCGTACGGACAGAATGCTCGATTCAAAGTGTGGGACTTGCCATCACCTGTATTACCAACTATAGCGAGGGTTTTCAGTTTCATATCCAGTGGACAGCCAAGGGCTTTCGCCAAATCCTCAGGGTTATCGAACTGAGAAAACAAAACGTTTAAAGAAACAGAAAGGTAATAAATGAGGTAAATTTGAGGAAGTAAAAACCTACAAGAAATTTTTCTTCTGCATCAACAATTTTAACAGACCTTGGAGGAGTCACAATGTTTTCGCATGAAGTAGACTCCATTAATGCATCCATAGTGAGACCCGAATGATCCGGTTCCATTATAAATCTGCCAAAAAGTTTCAGAAAAAAGAGAGAAGAAATAACTAATAAATTTGGATTTCCACTTCAAGCCAATTTATACTTTATACATGTAAAATATCATGGGAAATGATAATTGATTTAACAATAATTTTAAACATTCGTTGAAGGTTAATCCAAGCATAATTGAGAAGAAATTACAAATAAGATAAAAAATTAACCAGATTAGTACCTACCACTTATTCAATTGCATTAAGAATTATTTAAATGTCAGGCAATTATGGAGTCAACTAAAACAATGAAAGATCTATTTTACAATAAATTTAAAAATGTTCTTTATTATTATTTTATTTTTATGCGAATTATATTTATTTAAATTGATTATCAAGATTTTTTTCGAACTTTTTCTTTTTGTGTTTTGTTTGCGATAGGCTTCAAACTACAATCACCACACTGTGTGTGATATTCCACCACTTTCGCAGTAATCACCTTACATTTTTCTTTACCTTTGCGTCTGTTTGTCTTTTTTGTATCTGGTAACTGCTCTTCTCCCCCCCCCCCTCTCGAATTTCTGCTACTTTGATGAAACTTACCTCTGTGAAGACCGAAGTAAGCTAAATGGCTAAAGATAGCTATCAATACACCTGCCATTTGAAATAAATAGATTTTTTTTACTAAACTGTATCTAAATTTATGTTTACACAAGTTATCACTATTATAACATTGCTTAGATCAAAATCAATGAGTTAGTTTTGATGAACATAGCAGCTTCTGAATTTTGCTTATTAAAATCTTGTTCGAAATCCATTTACGATGATCAAAAAATCACAATTTAATCTATTCTGTATATGGAATGCAATGATAAATTTAATAAAGTTAAGAATAAGCATCGAGCTTATTTTATTTTAAGTTTTCACGTGATCTTCTTCGTGTAAAATGCTCCATATTTATATTTACCAAATTCTGATACGAATTAATGTGTTGAGTTCATGAGTCGTCTATGCAAATCCTTTTTTATTTAATCATTTGCTCTAATAATTGACAAAGCAAAACAATTTAACCAACCAAATTTAATATGTCTGATTCATTAAGTGTTTAAAATCAAATAATATTTCTATATTTTAACAAAAAAACCAATATCAACTATTTTGTCAGTTACCACTATAGAGAGTGTGAGCAAATATTTTAATTCCAATTTCGTATTTACCAAAACTGTAAGACTAAAATCCTTTTTTACGATTAGGTAATATTGAATCTTTTATCTATATCGCATCTTAATTAGTAAAATGACATAATTACTTTCACTGCGTGTACGCTAAGTCGTTTTTAATCTGTCAATATCGACTACAAGTAAAATTGTTAAGAATTACGATTCACCTAAGTGTTCGCAACGCTGTTGGAAAGATATATATATATATATATATATATATATATATATATATATGAGGCATCTCAAACTATCAATTTAAATGTTGAACTGGATGTCAAATTATAATTTTACATAAATTTAAAACAATTGATCTTATTTCTTTTTGAAGGAGGTTTAAGCATACAGAAAAATTACATTCGTCCTATAATTTATAATTCAGTTACTGCTACTCTTGAATGACAAATGGTTGATTATAGAGCAAAATTTCTTATATATTTTTAGGATATCTATTTAGAGGTAGGATCAAAGTAAAAATGCCAGAGTTTACGTGTAGGTAATTTAACGTCATTCCATAAGGCTTATTGATAATTTTATTATATTCTGAATGAGATTTACGTGAAAACTTAGCTTTATTATTTTCTATAAAGTAATACAAAAATATGGCTATTTAAATGCCCAACCCTTTCTTGATTCGGTTTCTTAAAATACATAATTTGAAAATACTGAATTTAATAAAATTATATTATATTTACTAAGGAAAAAGCTCGTATTACTCGCACGTGTTTTATTGGCTCAGATTCATTCACTCTTTAGAGTATCAAGGTTGCTGTGCTCCAGCTGGTTGGGTGGCGTTAGCGTTGTTTTTTCATTATAAGCCATCTTAATTTTATATCCTTGTCAGGCTAATTAATGTTTCTTAATGATTTAATTTTTTGAAATTTTGTTTTTTTCACGATCAAGTCCTAATTTTTGCGTTTTTGTTTCCCCTTTTTTGCTATATTATGTTGCTTAGTTAATTTTTTTGAATTACATAAAGACATGAATTTGGTAATGAAATTAATAGCGTAACAGGTAGTTCTTGTTGGAATACCTTGAATTTAGGAATTTTTCAACCGACATTATGGATCAGTGTTAATTTTATGTACGCGAAGCACAATCTTTGATTCATCGTTTTAGTTCTCGAAAATGTTTAATTGTCTTAGTCCGCTTTTAAATGTCCCAAAGGTTTCATTATGGACTCAAGTTCATCGGTTTTGCAGATAGTGGAGTTTTATCACAATCAGGTACTCAGATATGTTCTAAGTTCGAATTCTCTTTCCATTAAAAATCGAATAAATTTTCTTGGAGCCTCCGTGAAACCCGCTCTTTATGATGTTTTGTCGAATTTTGCATATTGTATTTTGGAATATGCAAATAAATGTTTTTTCTAAGCATAGTTCGGCGAATGTTGCTAGGCCTGAACAGCAGGCATTAACTGTTTGTTAATGCGCTCCTTGAAAAGTTCCTTGGAAAAAACAGAAAGCATATCTCCGAACAAGTGAGTGCAAAACGTCAAACACTCCAAGTTATCGAAATTGACGAAGTTTTAGTTTATAATATAAATAGCAGCTCCATGAATACTTGATATTTGTTTTCGATGGGAAAAGGCTGTGATCTAGATGTTAAATTCCGATATTTCTAGAATGTAGGCACAAGTTAAAAGTATGGTAAATGAAAGATAACTATCATGGTAGCTTTGTGTCATCGGCTCTTAGCAAACGCGTATGAGTTGCCAGGATCGTCTCCACAGCTCATTCCACAAGTGGATAAAATTTCTTCCCGAATAAGTTCTGACAGTTGATGCTGGAAAAATTGTTTTAAAAAGACACACTACCTGATGACTTCGGTGATTATATGCTTGATGGCTTTGATTTCCGACAGAAGCCACAAAATTTGCTCCCATTGCCAAAATCGTTTCAATCTGCCTATCTCCACAATCTTGGTCTTTACGAAATACAGCTGTCATGATATCTTATTCTCCTAATAGCGATTTTCTTTATTATTTACAGTTGCAAGTTCTTCGATCAATGCAAAAGGCAAATGGTAAGTAACACAAAGTGCTCGGTATCGACATTTTATAACGACGTCGAATGCGCCATGCTCTTCTTCTTCTTCTCTAATTTTATGCAGAGAGACGTTTTGTTCCAGTGGAGTTAAATCAGCTGCATTGGGATTTGCCCGACCGCTACACGTCAGTAATGGTTGTTGGTCACGGCGCTTATGGCACAGTGAGGTAAGCACACTTTATTCCAATTTACTTTCATGTTAATAAATAAATATAAATACTTTCATGTCATGTCATATAAATTATTGCCAATTTTTTTCAGTTCGGCAGTAGATCAATATTTGAAGAGACCAGTTGCAATCAAGAAGTTGGACAGGCCCTTCGAAAACCCCGAATTCGCAAAGCGCACCTATCGAGAGTTGGCCATCTTATCTCAGATGGATCATGAAAATGTTTGTCAATTCACCCCTTACCCACCTTATATAATATGCCTTTTTTACAATGAAGTTCTTAAACGCTTTATATTTTTGTTTTCTTTTTTTAGGTTATATGCTTGATAGATGCCTTTACACCGCAAACCACTTTTGAAACTTTTCAAGATGTGTAAATTTCCTCTCATTTTTTTTTAAATTTTCATGAAGCGTTTTAGTTAGTTTGTTTTTTTTTTAATATTTAATGACCTGCATACTTGCTCTAAGTTACTGCTTTTTGACAACGCCACGTTTTTTTCTCTATGATTCATTTTCCCGACTGGGGGATTATTATCAATGCCTCCACTTCCTGTGTCTTGATTGGGGGTTCTGTTTCCATTCCAATCTCTTCCCCCCCCCCATCCCACCCCCCCCCTCGTTACTTCTGCTACTGTTCTGACCCCCATGACTACTACGCCCACAGGAGAATAGAAAAACGGTGCATGGAATATGCTGCTGCAAGTACTTCAAAAGTGCACGGGTGTCCAGTGGGTGGCTTTTTGTGAAGGTGTTAGACAACTAAAAAGCGATTCACAGCTCACAGTGCATTTGTAGTCAAGTCTAACATGCGGGTGGGTGCAGGTTGTAGGACAATCTTCTGGGTGGATTTAAGACATTAGTTAATTACCATTCAAGGGGATGGGGAGGGGGAGGAGGGGTGGAGGTGGAGGGTTAGTTGTCTAGACGATTTAGAGTTGTATCACATGACAATAGTAGCCCCTTTCCATGATGCTAGTCTCTTGTTAATTTCTGATATTCTATTGGAAGTGAAATTCTGGTACCCTGGAAATTTTTGTCTCCCTCCATTTCCTGCCTACTAATAATAAATTTCTGCACGCCTCCCCTTTAGGCCTGTTGTAGTAGAATACAATAGGCATATATTAATCGACGGCTGTCGAATTTCAGGTGCTTATTAAATCAGTGGTGGTGGTGGTAGTTATAACCAGCTTTTCTACTTATTTATATCCTTCTTCTTTTCTTCGTCGATCACAGCTACCTCGTCACGCCTTTGATGGACGCTGACTTGAGCGCAATCATCTCCCAGCAAGTACTTGCTGATGATCAGATTTGCTTCCTTGTCTATCAAATGCTTCGTGCTCTCAAGGTGAGTCTATTTTCATTTAATGATGACACACACGTGAAAAAGAGGAAAGAATCTTCGGATTTAATAAATTGTTTTTTTTTGGGGCGCGTCACCTGATTTGCCATGTCTGAGGTGCTCATTGAATTCAACCACCAGCCGCCAGAAGTTTGGAGTGGCGGAAGGTGGATATGTCAAAAGGATGGCTTTTAAGGCAGTTTTAGAAGACAGTCAGAAGTAGAAGTAGACGGGGAACGTTTTCTTAGCATGTCTCGATTGCTTCCATTTGGCGAGGCAGCCAATAAGAGCTCAATGTTGTTTGCTTGATTCAGCACTTACTGCCTAATTGAGTCACTAAAAGGGCACTCTATTCAAAAGGCGCTACTTCGGGATTTCTTCTCTACGCAACACGGTAGGGATTATGTCACATGTAGCTATTGGGATGAGTCAATTCACAATTGGTTATGGTGGGCTAATACACTGCGTAGAGAACTTCTCACATTAGGAACAATGATGCTCCTTGCGCCCTGTTCCGCGCTTATAGCCTGTGTAGGTCACCAACCAGGCACTTTATTCACTGTATGATACCCTACATCGATCATTTGGATTGTTGATCATCAGCCTTTGTTATCTGAGTATATATAGGCCAACGCCATTTTATTGCCTTAAAGCTGGGAAATGCTCTCATAGAGCTTTGCCCATTTATGACCAAGCGGTGATACATCCGCTTGAGGCCTCATCCATGGTCTGCGCCTTGAGTGGCTGTAAGAGAGAAAGAGATCACTTGTTGAAAATGAACCAGGGGCCATAGAGATGCAAAAAAATAGTACGGAATCACCGTTGGATCTGAGGAAATTTAAGAACAAAATAATGTTCCCGATTGACCTTCGTTGGGACGCTTATGTACCAAGGCAGTTTGTTCAGAAGAGTATTCATATTTCAATGCGCACTCAATATTCAAATGTGGACATGATTCAAGTGCCATGAACCGGAATTGCATTTATCAAAACTTCCCCAAATTCCCAAGTCGAAATGTGCTAGCAGCACTTGATTTGAGTAGCATGCTTTTGAGTATCAGGGGTCAGACCTCTTGATCTAAACACAGCTTGAAACGGGACGACGAAAAGGGTATATGCCGTTTCACCTGGTCTTCGCGCGCGCGCGCGCGCGCGTCCTGTTTGTCCATCTCATTGGCTGAGATCCGGTGAAGACATGCCCTCGCTTATTTGAAGTTTGCTGAGTCATTTTCTTTCGCATTACCTAATACGTTACGGATACAATTAACTCATCTCCCTTATCACTTCAACTTGCAGACTATTACCGGGGTTTTCCGAAAATCCGCCAAGGGCGCTTCAACGGAAAAGCAGATTTCATGAAATTATTTATTTTTTTGCAATCAAATAACCACCCACCCGAATAAGCGCCCATGGGCGAAGTATTTATTTATTTATATCAAATGGCAGGCGTTTGGATGGTTATCATTAGCCCTTTAGTTGACTTCAGGCTTCACAGTGGGAAGGAACATCGGAGTGAAAAAAAGTAGAGGGGAGGGAGAACAGAAGAGTGTTTCAAAGATGTAAAAGGGACAGAAACAAAGGTAGAAAAAGGAAAGATGAGTACTGTTGAAGTGGTGGAATATGGACAAAGGAAAGATGAGTACTGTTGAAGTGGTGGAATATGGCATACAGTGGGGTGATGGTAGTTTGAAGTGAGAAGTCAACTCCCAGTTAATAGACGTTTTTGTGAAGTGAGAAGTCAACTGCCAGTTAATAGACCTTTTTGCGTTGAAGTCAGAAGTCAACTGCCGGTTAATAGAATTTTTTTGCCGATAGTTTGAAGTCAACTCCCAGTTAATAGACGTTTTTGTCGTATGAGTATACGTTGGCCAGGGTGCACCACGTGGAGGTAAGTCAATCACACACCCCTGGGCGAATTATAATATTTCACCTAAGAAGAACGTATGTGTGACTAACGTACGCGTATTGTACGTTCGGAATGACTCATTCCATATTGTGTGAGTCAAGTTTCAGCCCCCCTTATAGAGAACAGCTGTAAGAGTGCATTTGAAATTTTAACCCCAAATGACTGTGGTAATCGAAAGCGGGCCAATGGTTTGCTGTTGGGAAAATCGTTAAAATAACAAGTGTTAGAAGATATATTTGCCCCCCCCCCCTGATTTTAGTACATGCACGGAGCACATATAATCCACCGAGATCTCAAGCCATCGAACATTGCAGTGAACTCGGATGTGGACTTGCGGATAATCGATTTCGGACTGGCACGCCAGAAGAACAGTCAAATGACAGGTTATGTAGCCACTCGCTGGTACCGCGCTCCCGAAGTAATGCTCGACTGGATGCATTACAATGACTCTGGTAGGTGTTTCATTTACTTTGCATTCCGCCAATAAAAGTTTTTTGGTTTTTCTGCCCGAATCCTTCAAATTCCCTTATGTACACTGACTTTATGCAAACATTGAGTGCTTTTGTTCATGTGCGTTTTGTCTGCCTACCTCACACAAAGTAGCTTTTTTTCTTACTTGAAGAGTTAATCTTCAAGGTGAAATAATCTAAACAAACTACTTCATGTTGTAAGTTGATGAAAAGTTGATTTAACTGCAGCAGTGTGTGTGTGCGTGTGTGTGTGTGTTTATTCCTGCTGATAGTCAATGCCATCATTACCATTATCTACCAACCGACTCCACTTTTGTTAATATCCCATTAATTATATGCCACATTGCGTCTGTACAGATCCTAAATGAGTGTAATCTCTAAAATTCTTATTGGCTTGTAGTCTTAACTTTTGATGATTATTTTGAGAAAGTAGGAGCCGTTGTAATCTAGGTTGCAAGTCGTTGACTCCCATGAGGTAAGAGTTCAGGCTCTCATGTAGTTGGGGGATTGAAAGATAGCAACCGGGAAAGCCACTTCGATTTATATTCCATTTTCTTCGTGAGACGTTATTCCCATCCAATCGTCGCCATGTCTAGCAGTGATTAGTTGTTGATGTGTGAATATCCAGTCGATCACAGTCGATCTCTATGTGTGATCTGATTGTTGTGCCTTTCATCGTTCACCGACATCTGCTGGCTTTTTAGGTGGAACATTTGGTTTATGGGCAATTTGGAATCCTACATCATCTCAATGCCTTCCCTAGCCAACTACTTGTAGTAAATCTAAAGAAAAAATCAAGCTTTCTGTTGTCTTGATTGTTCTTCCCAGTCAAAAATATTATTATCGAGTCATCGAGCTGTCTTCCAAATAGGAGTACGGCTTTCCATTGGCTGTCAAAGTAGCCACTAAAAGAGGGAATTGTGTTGGCCAATGCGAAGTCAGATAACATTTTTCTTCACTTCTCCCCCACCCCCACCCCCCTCTCATCACTTGCTGGACTCTTCCAGGCACTTCTTCATGATGGCAGAGTTCAATTGTTGTGCTTTTTCATGGATGAATGAAGTGCCTTTTATTACCGTTTACGGCGGTTTTTCGCATTGTCTTGAATTTAGGACTCGTAAGGTGTCCTAGATTCCTTTAGACAACGGTTAGACAAGGTGAACTAGTTTCAACATCGCCCAATACTTTACTAACTAGTTTAGAGGATCGTTAGACGTCTCAGTAGGTGAGGTCAATATCTAGGACCCCCCATTAACCTTAGCAATCTTTTTGAAGACCGTTACTAGGGTTTTGTTTAAGTCGTCTGGTGAATTTTCACTGCGTTTAAGTCGCCTTCAATTACTAATTTCCCGTGCATTAATGAATGTACCTCACTGTGTGGAGGGCTTAGGCACTAATCAACCCTGGCTATAATGAGGGGAGAATGGAGAAGCCGTAGGCAGTCATTTTGGCTTTGGTCCACTATGAGGGAGGGAGAGGGGAAGGGCGTGGGGCTGGGGGCTGAATGAATCATAAGGCGATGACGAATAGTCCTCTCTCTCTCTCCCCCTCCCTCTCTCCGTGGGCAAAGGGCCAATCAGGCAGGTGTGTAGAATGCTCCACTCTCTCACCATCCCTCCAACACACAACTTGGCCTTCTACATTCCCCCCAATGCTGAGTGATTCTCTCTCTCTCTATTCGCAGACATTTTATACAAAGAAAAATCAGTTCTGGCCGTTCTACCTGACTCAATTTTGGCCAATCGTTAGGTTATATTTGCGATAGTTGTTGTATAGTTAAGTTGGGCGGATTGGCTAAGTGTTTATTCTCTTGGAGGTGATTAAAACATGTCAACGGTTCAGCATTGCTTCTCTATTGTAGAATTTGAGTTAGTATTGAAAGTGTGCTTGTTACTTCCTGCTCGCCCGTAAGGAAACTTAAAGTTGAGGCAATTTTTTCTTGTCTTTGACACACACACACACACCCAGATCCTCACTTTGCGTATTTCTCTTGTCAGCTACTGCTGTGTTCGAGGGTAGAGTTCGGAGAAAAAAGGTGAGATCGCATCACATAGAGTGGTCCAACCTCAGTGAAATTCGTGTCTAATCGGTGAAGTGCGTGTGAGGCTGTCAATGTTCCCGAGGGGGTGGGGGGTGGGGGGTGAGAAGGCGATTCTGTCGGCAGGCTGTTATCGATCAAGTTATTTATTTATTTCAAATGACAGGCGTTTTGATGGTTATCATTAGCCCTTTAATTGACTTCAGGCTTTACAGAGAGGAGGAGGAATATCAAAGTGAGAAAAATTCGAGAGAGGGGGATAGAAGAATGAATTACAGATGTAAAAGTGACAGACCGACACAAAGGTAGAGAAAAAGGTGAGGTGAGTACTGTGTAAGGGGTCGAATATGACATACAGTGGGGTCATGGTAGTTTGAAGTCAACTGCCAGGTAATAGACTTTTTGCCGTATGAGTATACGTTGCCCAGGGTGCACCACGTGGGGGTATGTCTATCGCACACCCCTGTTATCGATCAATTGGATCGCTCATACGTCCTATCCAGTGAAGTGAAATAAAGGAGGGATAATTAAGTTTCAGGGCCAAGTTTGCCACTTCAAATTTCTGTACATAGTTTTGAGTTCCGTGCGAGCACTTTTTAGCGTTTAAATTCGTTTCCACGGCCGCTATAAGATTGTCCACTTCTGATTCATTTATTTGCGCTCATTTTAATAAATAAATTTATTTTTCATAGCCGCGTATTGAGCAACACGCTAAAGTGTACTTTTGTGGCCAATCTGATGATATAAGGGGCTATATTTAAGCACATGGGGTGTGGAATAGACTTACCTCCAAGTGGTCCACCCTGGGCAACGTATACTCATACGGCAAAAAGTCTATTAATCGGCAGTTGACTTCTGACTTCAAACTACCATGACCCCATTGCATTTCATAATCGAATAATTTCACAGTATTCACCTCACCTTTTTCTACCTTTGTCCCTGTCTGTTTGTCTCTTTTACGTCTATGAATCATTATTCTGTCCCCTCTCGACTTTTTACCACTTGGATGTTCATCTTCCTTTCTGTGAAGCCCGAAGTCAACTAAAGGACTAATGATACCTATCATAACGCCTGCTATTTGAAATAAATTAATATTTAAGTACATACACTTGTTTTCAATGTAGTTAGACAAATGGCAGGCTTTATGATTTTCATTATTAGCCCATGTAGTTAAACAACTGACTTAAACGAGTTGGTGACCTTGCAATTAACGCTGAGCATAGAGGAGAACTTTAGTGACTTAAATATTAATTTATTTCAAATGGCAGGCGTTATGATTTTCATCATTAGCCCATGTAGTTAAACAAGTGGTTTCTACTGACTCAAACGAGTTGGTGACCTTGCAATTAACGCTGAGCATAGAGGAGAACTTTATTGACTTATCGTACCAATTGGAGTAGGCGATAATAAGCGGAAATTTGTGCCATCAACGATTGAGATGGACTTAGGCATAGGTGAGAGGAGATATACGCTTTCTGTGTTTCAAACGAAACAGACTGAATTGGAATTGGGGAACTCACAAATGTGGTAGAATTGAGAGTTTATGCCAATTGGACACCTCGCCTAACAAACACGTCGCTAAGCGTCCATCCACTCCCATCTCTGGATGTCGATATTAGCAGTAGTAGAATTGTTTCTCCAGTGCCGTTTGCATTTTAGTGTTCATTTTGACTGG